AAAAAATGGTTTCAAAAGTAAAAAAAAAAAAAAATTGGCCACGCCTACCCCAGTCACATTAAACCCCTGCCCCCTCCACCAAGCCACGCCCACAGAACCGGTAGTAACAGATTTTAGATTTCGCCACTGCTACGAACCCAATTCCCGCTACTTTCCCCCTTCTCCTTCCTCCAGGCCCTGGGACGAAAGCCTCTCCGATGACATGGAAGAAATGAAGCTGATCCTCCACATGTGGCTGGCGCTGTTTTATAGCAAACCGCTCCGAGCGTTGACGGTACGAAAAGTGGTGGAGCACAGCAACCCTGCCAAGTACGTCTCCCTGAACAGTCTGGTCGACCCCTTGGAGCCCATGGATGATGCGGGTGGGCCTTGCGGGTTGGAGAAACGCCCCGCGAGTTCTCTCCCCGAAGCTGTCCAGATACCTGCCGAAGGAGGGGAAGACGGATCGGTTTCTCCTTCTGAGAAGCTACTCCCGGGAAACAGACTTTCTTCCACCGACTCCTTAGAGGACGAGAGTCCTCTGACAACACTTGAAGAGATCAAGGACCTGCTCCAGAAGAAAAAACTGTCTCATCCTCCTCTAAAGTCCGTTGACGAGGTAAGGTTTCCGGTGGGCTCCGTAGCGCCCACGAATACCGAAGGTGTAAATTGTCCTCCTGTGCATGGGATGCCGGTTGGCCCCCCCCCCAACGGGAGGGGAAATTTGCAGATCGGGGTTGAGTCGTGGGGTCCGTGGTGCTCTCCGAGCTTGTTTGCTTTCCAGATGTTTCGTGACCCAACTAGGTGACGTCATGAGGGCTAAGAAGGTATTGGCCTTTGCGGAGTGGAGGTGAAGGAGAAGGGGAGGAAGAAAAGGAGAAAGGAAGGGGGAAGAGGAGAAAGGAAGGGGAGGAGGAGAAAGGAGGGGGAGAGGCAGAGAGGGGAGGGGGAGGAGAAGAAAAGGAGGAGGAGGAGGAAAAAGAGGGGAGGAAGAGGAGAAGGAGAAAACGGGAGGAAGAGGAGGAGAAAGGAAGGAGGAGGAAGAGGAGAAGGAGAAAGGAAGTGGGAAGAGGAGAAAGGAGGAGAAAGGAAGGGGAGAGGCAGAGAGGGGAGCGGGAGGAAAAGAGGGAGGAGGGGGGAAAGGGAGGAGGAAGAGGAGAAGGAGAAAGGGAGCAGGAGGAAAAGGAGAAAGAAAGGGGAGGAGGAGAAAGGAAGGGGAGAGGCAGAGAGGAGGGGGAGGAGAAGAAAAGGAGGAGGAGGAGGAAAAAGGGAGGAGGAAGAGGAGAAGGAGAAAGGGGGAGGAAGAGGAGGAGAAAGGGAAGAGGAGGAAGAGGAGAAGGAGAAAGGAAGTGGGAAGAGGAGAAAGGAGGAGAAAGGAAGGGGAGAGGCAGAGGGGGGAGCGGGAGGAAAAGAGGGAGGAGGGGGAAAAAGGGAGGAGGAAGAGGAGAAGGAGAAAGGGGGAGGAAGAGGAGAAAGGAGGAGGAAGAGGAGAAGGAGAAAGGAAGGGGGAGGAGGTAGAGGAGGAGGAGGAGGAGAAAAGCAGAGGAGGAGGAAAATGGAGGGGGGATTCCAGTCCCAATTATCGTTGTTAAGTCGAGTCCTACCTATATGTTCCTATGCCAGCATAACGTGTTGGTTTTAAAACCCGTAAAGAGATTTTTGGCAAAGTCTCTTGGTGTCTGTCTGCAAATCTGAATTTTTTTTTTTTTTTCCCCCAGGTGGTTGAAGCAGAGCCCAAAGAACAAACCTCACTTCACCCTGTGCTTCCTATTGAAAACCCGCCTGGAATCGACGAACGTGTGAACTCTCCGATCTGTCAAACCGATACAGGCAGAAGTCAAGAGACTATGTCAGTTGAAACTTCCCCAAATGACGCATCTGTGCCTACGGGACTTCTGGCGGAGGGTTCAAGAAACCAACAGCCCATCGCAAGCACCGAAGTTGCCGTTTCGGTAGCAAATAGGGGAACTGACGTTGAGTCTTCTTCCGAAGAAGTGAAGAAGGACAACCTCCCAGCTGGTGATCCCGACCCAAGAACGTGGAAAGAAGCGGAGTTAAAAGCAGATGTGAGGTCTCGGGAGCCCACCAATCCAGGAAACAAAGTGCAAAACCAGCCTAGACTCCGTACGGATGAGCGAGATGGAGAAAGCGTGGACTTGGGATCCATTGATCTCGTGCTCTCCAAAAGCAACGATGCTGACTTGGAAATCCAAGATATGGATCTGGTTTCAGAGGACGAGGGAGATCCTGCGGAGAGCAGTGTGAAAGGAAGGGAAGAAACAGATGGTATGAGTAATGACTCATCCGGACAAGGTCCTCTCTCATCTAGGGCATCATCCCCAGATGCCTTGTCTGGGCATCCGACAGAATTCCCGGGTATCCAAGAAGCTGCGGTAGAACCATCCTCAAGTTCTGTATCTCCAAACCAAATGGAGTTGATGGATATGGTCCCTCAGCAGAAGGCCTCGTTCCATCCAGTGACTGTTGATGAAAAGATGGTTGGATCAACCTCAAGTTCTGTATCTCCAAACCAAATGGGGTTGATGGCTTTGGTTCCTCAGCAGAAGGCCTCGTTCCATCCAGTGACTGTTGATGAAAAGATGGTTGGATCAACCTCAAGTTCTGTATCTCCAAACCAAATGGGGTTGATGGCTTTGGTTCCTCAGCAGGAGATCTCGTTCCATCCAGTGACTGTTGATGAAAAAATGGTTGGATCAACCTCAAGTTCTGTATCTCCAAACCAAATGGAGTTGATGGATATGGTCCCTCAGCAGAAGGCCTCGTTCCATCCAGTGACTGTTGATGAAAAGATGGTTGCATCAACCTCAAGTTCTGTATCTCCAAACCAAATGGAGTTGATGGATACGGTTCCTCAGCAGAAGGCCTCGTTCCATCCAGTGACTGTTGATGAAAAGATGGTTGGATCAACCTCAAGTTCTGTATCTCCAAACCAAATGAGGTTGATGGATATGGTCCCTCAGCAGGAGATCTCGTTCCATCCAGTGACTGTTGATGAAAAAATGGTTGAATCAACCTCAAGTTCTGTATCTCCAAACCAAATGGAGTTGATGGCTTTGGTTCCTCAGCAGGAGATCTCGTTCCATCCAGTGACTGTTGATGAAAAAATGGTTGGATCAACCTCAAGTTCTGTATCTCCAAACCAAATGGAGTTGATGGATACGGTTCCTCAGCAGAAGGCCTCGTTCCATCCAGTGACTGTTGATGAAAAGATGGTTGGATCAACCTCAAGTTCTGTATCTCCAAACCAAATGGAGTTGATGGATATGGTCCCTCAGCAGAAGGCCTCGTTCCATCCAGTGACTGTTGATGAAAAGATGGTTGAATCAACCTCAAGTTCTGTATCTCCAAACCAATTGGGGTTGATGGTTTTGGTTCCTCAGCAGAAGGCCTCGTTCCATCCAGTGACTGTTGATGAAAAGATGGTTGGATCAACCTCAAGTTCTGTATCTCCAAACCAAATGGAGTTGATGGATATGGTCCCTCAGCAGAAGGCCTTGTTCCATCCAGTGACTGTTGATGAAAAGATGGTTGGATCAACCTCAAGTTCTGTATCTCCAAACCAAATGGAGTTGATGGCTTTGGTTCCTCAGCAGGAGATCTCGTTCCATCCAGTGACTGTTGATGAAAAAATGGTTGGATCAACCTCAAGTTCTGTATCTCCAAACCAAATGGAGTTGATGGATACGGTTCCTCAGCAGAAGGCCTCGTTCCATCCAGTGACTGTTGATGAAAAGATGGTTGGATCAACCTCAAGTTCTGTATCTCCAAACCAAATGGGGTTGATGGATACAGTTCCTCAGCAGGACACCTCGTTCCATCCAGTGACTGTTGATGAAAAGATGGTTGGATCAGCCATGGATCCCACGTCTCCAAAACAAACAGACGAGGTGGAGAACTCGCACAACGAAGCAATCTTAGCCAATTCAGCTTCCACCGAAGCTTCCGGAGACTTCCCAAACAATCTAGCAACTCCAGATGGACCCTTCCATCAAAGTCCACAGGAACCAGTGGAAAGTCCTAGGGTCCCTAACCAAGTTGATGTGGTTGACCTTTCCTCAGTTTCCCAGGAAGACGGAAGAATCCGTTCATCCTGTCTGCCTTCATGGCAGGCTAGTCCTGTCCATCAAGGAGCGTCTGATGAAGAGCCACCAAGGATCCAGGAAGACCGTCCCGAGGACCCCCTATATCACATTTTCCAAAATCCGATGGGTTTGATTGAAGATATTTCTCAGGATAGTACAGACTTGGGTGATCCGGTTGTGTTGCACCTGTGTGAACCAAACGACAACTTGTGTGTGAACTCAGTACCAAACAGTATATCAACTCGGCAGGAATCGGTGGAAAACCAAGACACTTCGGTTGCGTTCGCTCAACGTCTTCCCCTCACCAAAGAAATGGATCTGATTGAAAGTCCTGAAGGAGACCATCCAGCTAGTCCTGTCCATCAGGAAACTTCTGATGAAGCTGCAACATTGCAGGACGATTCCGGTGCCAAACTGGATTTGCTTGAGGATTCTCCCATTCCCCAAGAAAAGGATGTCATTCACCCAATAGACGATGTTTTGGGGCGAGTTAATGAACCAAGGCTTGCAGAGTCTGATTTAGGAACTCAAGAGGAACAGAAGATCAGTCAGGGAGAAAAGATCCCGGTGGATTCTCAGCCCGCAAAAGAATATCCGAGCTTGGAGTCGCACGATGCGGAATCTGAGACTTCCTTCAAGAGTGAAACATGTCTGGATCAAGAGAATATCAGAGACTTTTCTGCAAGAGAAGAAGAAGAAGCGTCCCCTGATGACGGCGTTGAAAAACCAACCATTACGACGACCGCTGTAGCTGAAGAGGTCCACGTTTTAATGAACGAATTGGTAGACACGGTGTGCGCCACGATAGCTCAGAGTGAAGAAATGAGGGCTCCAAAGAGCTTAGATTGGATCGATTCAGCCATGCTGGAGAGTGTGACGCCTCCCGTGAGTGACGATGAAGGTTGTCCAACTGATCAGGATCCCCATGCGGACGTGACATGGGCGGAGGAATGTTTAGAAGAGAGTTCCAGCTTTGATGACCAAGAAGAAGACTTACAAGCCAGGGTAGAAGGACAAGGAGAGTTGGGTTCATCATCAAATGAGAACACAACGTCCGATCCAGGAGATGCTTCTGAAAAAGCAGAACTTCAAGGAAATGATGCTACCTCAGCTGCCATGGAGGCCTTCTCAAGTTGTGGCACAAGTCAAGCAGAGCTGGACACAACCAGCCCAAAGAGCAGATGTTCGTGTCTCAAAACCACTGAGTCCCCAGATGACTACAGTGCAAAGGCTGATGACTACAGTGTGTCCACTTTGGAGAAAGTTGGGCAAACAGAGGCTAGTCCAGAAGAACCCATTTGCAACAGGGAAGACTATTCTAGAGGAGAAGATGTGGGGAACTTGTCCTTTGTCCCAGCAAAATGTCAGGAGGACTCTTTGGCAGAAGAACCTGGCTCTTTGGTTGACCGAGATTCAAACGAAACTCCAGAGGATCGTGAAGAAGAGGCCCAAGAAGAAACAAAGGGGTGTCTGGGAAGTCTGGAAGACCCTCTACCTGACGAAAGGACACAGATGTCCACCAGTTCTTCAGGCACGGACACAGACTGGGAAGATGAATCTCTGACAGTGGATGGCGGCCAAGATCCCTGCGTAGATTGGTATCCCAAAAAAACATTGGAGAGTTGGTGTCAACCAAGATTCAAGGCCTCCCCAAGCATTGAATCCGAGTTAACCCGTAGTTCAGGTCCTGGGAACGATCCTTGTAAAGATGGAGATTGGGTGTCCTCAGAAGCTAGCCAGAAGACGTCAGATGCCAGGTCCATGAAACGCAACGTTCCTTTTGGTTTAAAAAAAGATTGCTTATGGTCTCGTGACATGGACCATAAGCCCGAGCCCTTCAAGGATTATATCAATTTCTCCATCACCAAGAAGCACAAGGAGAAAAGCAGGACTTTCCATGCAGTCTCCAAAGAGCACAACCCTTTCTCCAGAGATTTGGGGTCCATCAACTCCTGGAGCAGGAACTGTGGTTTTCTGAGCGACCCGATTCAGAACATTTTAGACGTGGAATCCCTGCAGTTCCATTGCAGGATCCAGGGACTCCTGAAGAGATCACAACGTTCTACCTCCCGTGTTCTTCCCAGCAAGAAGGTCCCACTTCAACGGATAGCGGAAAGGTGGCCATCCAGGACGGTCTCGGAAGAGACAAATGCTAGGTTTCCAACCAGAAGCAAAAGTCCACTACTGGTCACCGTTGTCAACCCAAATCCAAGGACCGGGCGCCAATACGATAACATCTGCCGCCCGTTTCCAGCCAGCCTGGATCCCTTTGTCCCAGCCGCTGTGCCGAAGAGTCAAGGCGGACTCGGTCCAAAATCTCCCTTCCCTTCTTTGCATCTCCAGAAATTGACCTACCATAAGCTAAACAGTTTTTCCCGGGATATCTCGTCCGTTCTCGAAGACTTTGCCGAATTCAGCCGGGCGATGAACTTGGAGAGCACGCGGACGTGCAATCCCGGGAGAGACCTCACTGCTACCTCAGGAAAGGCGGGCGAGATACGGTACCCGCCTCGACCTCCCACGCCGCTCGTCTACGAGGACCTTCTCGCCGACCTGCGCAACGCACTACATTTCCAGCTGAAAAACGTGGCCCAGGAAGCGTGCCGAAAACCCTTCTCGTTCTACTTGATGGAAACGGAGGACGACCCGTTCTTCGGGAGAGTAAAGGTAGGATTTGGGGGTGGGTTGAAGGGGATCTCAGGGTCCCCGGGAGGAAGAGGGCCGCTTCAGAATGGTTACGCTTGGTTGAAAGGATGTGCCAAGGTCGCGGGATTGCTGTCATGTAGGGTTTCTCAAACTTGCCCCTGGGTGGACTACAACACCCAGAATTCCCCAGTCAGCCTTTGTAGACTTCAACTCCCAGAATCCCTCAGCCAGCATTCTTTAAGATGGGTAGACTTCAACTCCCAGAATTTCCCAGGCAGCAGGCTGAGGAATTCTGGGAGTTGAAGTCCACCCATTTTAAAGCATGCTGGCTGAGGAATTCTGGGAGTTGAAGTCCACCCATTTTAAAGCATGCTGGCTGAGGAATTCTGGGAGTTGAAGTCCACCCATTTTAAAGCATGCCGGCTGGAGAATTCTGGGAATTGAAGTCCATCCATACTAGAGTTGCCATGGTTGAGAAACACTGCCATAAAACTATCCTTTCCAAACAGGAAGTCAGTTTCTTTGTTGTTTATCTTGTTCCTCTGCCTTTCTGTCCCTTCATTTATTAGGCAGCATTGGAAGACAATTTGGTTCTTTGGATATGCATAACATGCTCTGGTTTTTTTAAATATATATATATTTATATATAGCCAACTTTTGTACCTAAGGCAGGAACTAGAACTCACCATCTCCTAGCAATTAGCCCAAGAGCCAGTCACCCAGCTGGCTTTCATAAGGCGGGACTAGAACTCACCGTCTCCTGGTGATTGGCCCAAAGTCACCCAGCCAGCTTTCATGCCTAAGGCGGGACTAGAACTCCCCGTCTCCTGGTGATTGGCCCAAAGTCACCCAGCCGGCTTTCATGCCTAAGAAGGGACTAGAACTCCCCGTCTCCTGGTGATTGGCCCAAAGTCACCCAGCTGGCTTTCATGCCTAAGAAGGGACTAGAACTCCCCGTCTCCTGGTGATTGGCCCAAAGTCACCCAGCTGGCTTTCATGCCTAAGAAGGGACTAGAACTCACCATCTCCTGGTGATTGACCCAAAGTCACCCAGCTAGCTTTCATGCCTAAGGCGGGACTAGAACTCCCCGTCTCCTGGTGATTGGCCCAAAGTCACCCAGCCGGCTTTCATGCCTAAGAAGGGACTAGAACTCCCCGTCTCCTAGTTTTTACATCAGTACCTTAACCAGGAAGGATGCACAAATATCCCCCGTAACAATTTGTGCATCAGACTCTGCATTGGACTGTATCATCTTAATGCAGACGATGCGGAATGGGGCAAAAACGAGAGGTGTTCCGTGCGCAGCCTAGTCTGCCCACGCCAGGCGTTCTGTGTTGTGCGGTTGTGGTTCACCTCGCCGTAGTTGCAGCTTGTGTTTTTCATGGACGGATTTCTTTTCCTCCCCCCCCCCCCCCCCCAACCGTGTCTCCTTCCAGAATTTGCTGAGGAAAGGTGGCCACTCCGAAGTGGATCTACTGCAGTTCTGCAAAGGAAGCGGCATGGAAACGGAGAACCTGATGGTCATCGTTCGAAACGAGGACATTTTCTTACACATCCACAAAGTAGGTTCAAAACTCGCTTTCGGCTCTTCCGGGAAATAATTCTCAGCCCTTTATTACCGACGGAGCCGGATTTCTGCCTTGTCGAAGAGATCTTGGGGGGGAATGTGGTAGAGACTAGAATTGCAGAGTTGGAAGGGACCTTGGAGGTCTTCTAGTCCAACCCTCTGCTCAGGGTTCCATCTTTACGAAGTCGGTAAAACGAAGACCCAGATTGTTGGGGGGCAAGAAGCTGACTCTGTTAAACCGCTTAGAGAAGGCTGGAAAGCACTGTGAAGCGGTACATAAGTCTAATAAGCTTTTACTAAGTGGGGAGGGAGGGAGGGTGCAGTGGTTAGAATGCAATATTGCAAGCAAACTCTGCCCACTGCCAGCAGTTCGATCGTGGCCAGCTCAAGGTTGACTCAGCCTTTCATCCTTTCGAAGTGGGTAAAATGAGGACCCAGATTGTTGGGGGCAAGAGGCTGACTGTCAGCACTTCAAGCTGCATTTACTCTAGTGCTGACATAAGAAGGAATAGCGGAGGCGTCTGGAAAGGGACGTTTGACTTTTCACCTACTTATTTTCCCTGGAGAATAATATCCCCTAGGTGATGGGATGGGAGGGGGGAAATTCCTTTGAGCTGGAGCAGTAGATTAGGGGTAGAGTGACTTGGAAGATGGCCAATGAGTGCAGAGGAGTGGGGAAAGGAAAGGGAGGGTTTTGGGTCAGGAAGTCAATGTTGGCTACGATAGAGTCGGAGTTAGAATGTCACTCCGGACCCACTTCCAGTTGCCTTTGGGGCTGTGCTCCTTCATTCGTTTCCCCTCTCTTGGCTGCTTCCACAGGTCCCTTTCTTGCTGCGTCTCAAACGCTGCCCCAATGTGACTTTTGCTGGGCTGGACCGCCCCGAAGACTCCCTGGACCACACCTACCAGGAGCTCTTCCACAGCGGAGGCTTTGTGGTGTCCGATGACAACGTGCTTGCAGGGATGACCATAGGTGAGTCAGCCTGCTTCCGATGGCTGGGGAATTCTGGGAGTTGAGGTCCACTCATCTTAAAGCATGCTGGGTGGGGAATTCTGGGAGTTGAAGTCCACCCGTCTTAAAGCATGCTGGGTGGGGAATTCTGGGAGTTGAAGTCCACCCATCTTAAAGCATGCTGGCTGGGGAATTCTGGGAGTTGAAGTCCACCCATCTTAAAGCATGCTGGCTGGGGAATTCTGGGAGTTGAAGTCCACCCATCTTAAAGCATGCTGGCTGGGGAATTCTGGGAGTTGAAGTCCACTCATCTTAAAGCATGCTGGCTGGGGAATTCTGGGAGTTGAAGTCCACCCATCTTAAAGCATGCTGGTTGGGGAATTCTGGGAGTTGAAGTCCACTCATCTTAAAGCATGCTGGCTGGGGAATTCTGGGAGTTGAAGTCCACTCATCTTAAAGCATGCTGGGTGGGGAATTCTGGGAGTTGAAGTCCACCCGTCTTAAAGCATGCTGGCTGGGGAATTCTGGGAGTTGAAGTCCACCCGTCTTAAAGCATGCTGGCTGGGGAATTCTGGGAGTTGAAGTCCACCCATCTTAAATCATGCTGGTTGGGGAATTCTGGGAGTTGAAGTCCACCCATCTTAAAGCATGCTGGCTGGGGAATTCTGGGAGTTGAAGTCCACTCATCTTAAAGCATGCTGGGTGGGGAATTCTGGGAGTTGAAGTCCACCCGTCTTAAAGCATGCTGGCTGGGGAATTCTGGGAGTTGAAGTCCACCCGTCTTAAAGCATGCTGGCTGGGGAATTCTGGGAGTTGAAGTCCACTCATCTTAAAGCATGCTGGCTGGGGAATTCTGGGAGTTGAAGTCCACCCATCTTAAATCATGCTGGTTGGGGAATTCTGGGAGTTGAAGTCCACTCATCTTAAAGCATGCTGGCTGGGGAATTCTGGGAGTTGAAGTCCACCCGTCTTAAAGCATGCTGGGTGGGGGATTCTGGGAGTTGAAGTCCACCCATCTTAAAGCATGCTGGCTGGGGAATTCTGGGAGTTGAAGTCCACTCATCTTAAAGCATGCTGGGTGGGGAATTCTGGGAGTTGAAGTCCACCCGTCTTAAAGCATGCTGGCTGGGGAATTCTGGGAGTTGAAGTCCACTCATCTTAAAGCATGCTGGCTGGGGAATTCTGGGAGTTGAAGTCCACCCATCTTAAATCATGCTGGTTGGGGAATTCTGGGAGTTGAAGTCCACTCATCTTAAAGCATGCTGGCTGGGGAATTCTGGGAGTTGAAGTCCACCCGTCTTAAAGCATGCTGGGTGGGGGATTCTGGGAGTTGAAGTCCACTCATCTTAATGCATGCTGGCTGGGGAATTCTGGGAGTTGAAGTCCACCCGTCTTAAAGCATGCTGGGTGGGGGATTCTGGGAGTTGAAGTCCACCCATCTTAAATCATGCTGGTTGGGGAATTCTGGGAGTTGAAGTCCACTCATCTTAAAGCATGCTGGCTGGGGAATTCTGGGAGTTGAAGTCCACCCGTCTTAAAGCATGCTGGGTGGGGGATTCTGGGAGTTGAAGTCCACTCATCTTAATGCATGCTGGCTGGGGAATTCTGGGAGTTGAAGTCCACCCGTCTGAAAGTAGCCAAGGTTGAGAGGGAGGGGACTAACGGAGGGCCCATGCTCTTTTCTTTAGGGGAGCTGAAAGACGTGATCAAAACCCTGGAGAAACTCAACGGCCACGGGAGATGGAAGTGGTTCCTTCACTACCGAGAATCCAAGAAGCTGAAGGAAGATGCCAGGTGAGATCAAGCAGAATATTGCTGGAAGGGACCTTGGAGGTCTTCTAGTCCAACCCCCCCCTGTTCAAGCAGGAGACCCTGTGCCAAGATTTCTACCTCCCCAAGAACCTTCTCTTGGGTCTCAGCCATGCTTCCCTCTTGGTTCGCACCCAGCTGTACCAAATCTATATATTTGTGGATAAGCCCATCTTCAGCATAAGCCAACCTTCAATTTTTTAACCAAAGACCCATCAAAAATGCACCACAAATTGACTTGTGGGTGACATATTTTTTGTGATATGTTGATTAAAAATCTCTGGTTCTGTTTATCTGCCAGGGGGCATGTATGTATGTATGTATGTATGTATGTATGTACGTATGTACGGTATATATATTTTGTTCTGTCCCCGTCTCACACACGCACACAAACAGATAGCCAGGGGTTAAATAAAACTGGCAGACAACAAATTCTTTCAATAAAAGGATTGGCAACAATCCAGTAGCTGCTTGCCCAGAACTTTACTCATAGAGGGAGGGGTTGTTCCTCCAACAGATGAACCCAAACAAGATACACACAGTTCAAGAATTGTCAAGTCCAGTCCGTATTAAATCCAAGGCAGATAATGTTGTTTCAAAGATACAATGTGACTCGCTAGTAGTTTAGTTTTGTCCGTCACAGAGTCTGAATGGCCACCTCACCCCCTTTTATCCCCTGTGGGGTGTGGTCCAGTGACTCATCTTAATCTCTGGCACTCCTCCTTTTCTGCTGCGTGCGCCTGTCTCTCCGACGCTGGCATGGATCCAGCCAAGACTTATCTCCATCACTGTCCGACTGCGAGGAGATACTGGCTCCTGGCCAATCTCTTCTCCTTTGGGAGACACCTGAGGCATTGCCAGAGAGGAGGGTCCTGGAGAGGGAGGCCTGGCCAACTCCTCTCCTTCATGTTCGGAGCCTTCTCCCTCCGATAAGTCAGGAGTCAGAGTCACAACATATTTATGCACACAAGAGAGAGATGAATATTTTTAGAAATATTACTGTATATCCTCTCGGATAAGCCCAGCTGAGCCCAATTTTAGGGGTGTATTTTGACATTTAAAATTCTTGGCTAATCTGCAAGTATATATAGTACCCCTCATTAAACGAAGCAGCACATTATAAGAGAGCCACATGAATTCAGGTGATGGTTCATACATTCAGGCAGGACCCAATATATGAATGAGGCAGTTAGATTTTATTTAACCAGGGTTATCTGTAAGCGTGTTGCGTAAAGCTGGCCGACGGGGTTTTCACAGGTAATTTTATTTATTTAGATGTCTACATCGTCCACTTCACCTCAATGACTCTGGGCTGTATACAGCAGTAGCCAAAATTGTGGAAACCTTTTGGGAAAAGTGTATTTTCTAAAACTAGCTCATAACACCACATTTTTTTTGGAGTAGCACCATAAAATTATATATCAATGGAAAGATAATTGAATCAAGAACGTAATGCAATAACTTTTATGGAGGGTTTGCTATTAGAATAGCAGTTACAGTATAAAGAAGAAAAGGGAAACACGTAGAAAAAACAAGATATACAAAAATGATCACCATGTCAGTTAATCCTTAGTTGGGTAACATTTAGCATGAATGACGGCCTTACGACGTCTTTCCATGGAGTGAACCAAGTCTTTGAGTTCTGCAGCTGTTCTAATGTGAAACCAAGATTGAATGATGGCTTCTATTAACCGGGTTTGTTTGCTGGGTCGCTTCTGACTAACCAGTTTCTTTTGTCGGCTCCATAGATTTTCCATTGGGTGAAGGTCTGGGCTATTCCCAGGCCATTCCAGCAGTGGAATAGGATTATCTTGAAATTCCAAAAAAAAGGGGGTATTATTAGCCATCAAACCTCCAAAATACACTTTTCCCAAAAGGTTTCCACAATTTTGGCCTCTACTGTAGAACAACATAAAAGGACCATATAAATGAATAAATAAAAGCATAATTTGAAAACCGTGTTAAAAACCAGTTACAAGTTAGACGTGAAAACAAATCAGATTAAAATTCAAATGCTAGAAGGTTCCTCTGCTTTGGGATTACAGACAGTCCTTGACTTACCATGGTACATTTAGTGACCGTTTGAAGTTACAACGGCACTGAAAAAAGTGACTTATGACCTGTTTCCACACTTACGACCATTTGCAGCATCCCCGTGGACGTGTGATCAAAATCCAGATGCTCAGCAACCGACTCACACTTATGACGGTTGCAGTGTCCTGGGGGTCACGTGATCCCATTTTACGACCTCCGGACAAGCCAAGTCAACAGGGAAGCCAGATTCACTTAACAACCCTGTGACTGACTTCACTGCCGTGATTCACTTAACAACCGTGGCAGGAAAGGTCATAAAAATGCGGCGAATTCACTGAACCAGTCTCGCTTAGCGATGGAAATTTGGATTGTGGCCGTAAATTGAGGACTGTACTGTACTGTGGGTGGGAAGCAGGACATATCGGTGGACAATATTGCTAATTTTTTTTTTTTTTTTGCAAGGGGGAAAAAAATGAGCTGGATTGAATTTGCTGCAGACGGAGTGGGGAGTCGTCGTCCCTCCCGGCCCAAGGGATCACCTCTTGGCCTTCTTTCTTCCCGCAGGGGGGATCCTGCCGCGTACACCAAGGAATCGGTCCTGAAATCCTGCCAGGTGGCCAACATGACGGAAGTCCTCCACTACCACAAGTGTGACTCCAGATCGTGCACGAGATTTGAGCGCTTCAACTGCCTGTTGAACTTGCAAATTCAACACATCACCAAGAGGTTCGGCGTATTTCTCACAGGTAAGCTAAACTGCACCCCCTCGTCCCCGTCCCCCCCAAAATGTAGAGGGGCCCAAGGAAGACTCTGCAGATCCTCATTCCGGAACTGTTTGCACAAAGAGGTAGTCCTCGACTTACGACCACAAGCGAGCCCGAAACATCCGTCGCTAAGCGAGACATTTGTTGAGTTTCGGCCCATTTCATGACTTTTCTTGCCATGGTGGTTAAGCGAAGGTGGCTCCCCCACCCCCCACCCCCCCCAGTTGACTTTGCTTGTCAGAAGGGCCAGATCATAGGTCGATCGTATACGGTCACTTCAAATGGTCACTAAGTGAGTTGGTGTCTCCTAAGTCCATTGTAACGTCGAACCGTCCCTAAGCGATTGGTCGTAAGTGGAGGAACGACCTTTATCTAGTTTTACAGGTAGCCCTCGACTTACAACCCCAATGGAGCCCCAAATTTATGTCGTTATGTAAGCGAAATGTTTTTTAAGGGAGCTTTGTCCCGTTTTATGACTTTTGCTGCATGGTTGTTAAAAAGTGAACCACCCCAGCTGTTCATTTAGTAATGCAGTTATTAAAGCGAATCTGGTTTCCCCCTGGTCAGAAGGTCGCAAAAGGGGGGGCTCACGGGAACCCGGGACACAGCGACCGTCCTAAATGTGGACCGGTTGCCAAGGGCGTGAATTTTGATCATGCGACCACGGCGAGGCTACAAAGGTCGTAAGTGCGAAAAACGGCCGTAAGTCTCTTTTCTCAACGCCGTCGTAACTTTGAACCGTCCCTAAATAAACTGTTGTAAGTCGAAATACTACCTGTATTTGGCGACCAATGCCATCCTTGACTCTTTTTCCGGACTCTGTCGTGTGTCTGAGATCGAGATTCCCTTCTGTGAAATGGGTACAGGCCAGGGATAAAATCTACTTACCTTCCTTTCCGGTTCAGAAGTGCACGCTCCAGCTGCGTGCGTCACATCCGATTGGTCAAAAACAGGTTACTTCCTTGTTAAAACCAGGAAGTAACGACATCCAGGCGGTTGGGCGGAACCTCGCGCTGCCGCCGCTACCAGTTCTCTGAAACACACGCCGCCCCCACTACCGGTGCGCCCGAACCGGTGTGAAGCAGTAAGCATTTCACCCCTGGAACAGGCCCTGAGGGATGAATTTTGGTTCGTCCAGGAGAATAATCGGGGTGCACCCGGAGGCTGCAGTTGGTCCAGAACGCGGCCGCGCGGGGGATTATGGGAGCAACGGGGCGCTCACATATAACACCTCTCCTGCGCGAGCTGCACTGGCTTCCTGTGGTCTTCCGGGTGCGCTTCAAGCTGTTGGTGACCACCTTTAAAGCGCTCCATGGCTTAGGGCCAGGGTATTTGCGAGACCGCCTTCTGCCGCCGATAGCCTCCCACCGACCGGTTCGCTCACACAGAGAGGGACTCCTCAGGGTGCTGTCGGCCAGGCAGTGCCGGCTGGCGACCCCCAGGGGGAGGGCCTTCTCTGTGGCAGCGCCTGCCCTCTGGAATGACCTGCCCCCTGAGATACGCACGATATCAGACCTCCGGACTTTTCGTCGGGCCCTGAAGACACACTTGTTCCATCTAGCTGGGCTGGCTTGATCCCGTCCTCTCAGTTTTAATTGAATTTGGTTTTAATTGGGTTATTTTAATTACTGGGCCGAAATTATTTAATTGTTTTTAAACTGTTTTTTTAAATTTTATATGTTATGTTTTATCTCGGCTGTGCACCGCCCTGAGTCCCGCAGGAGAAGGGCGGTATAGAAATATAATAAAATAAATAAATAAATCTCATTTCCCCCCCTTTTTTTCATCCCGGCAGAAAACGCCAGCGCTAACCGGGAAGCCTTGGAGGACAAAGGCATTTTCGGCTTGAACATCACCGACTTCATCGCCATCGCGCAAGGCTTGGTGGCGCCGTTTGGAAGCGGCTTCTGGTAAGAAGGACAAGCGGCCGAATCAAGCCAGCGGGAAGTGAAAAGCGGATTCGAGGGCAGATTTTGGAAAGTCGACATTGGACCGAAGCGCTTTTTAATTTCTTTTTCTTTCTTTTTTTTAAAAAAATATATTTATTATGTTTTAGCAAGGGGAATAAAACATAAACGAGGAAAAAACAAACAGAAAAAGCATACCTCCAATGGTAACAGTAACAAAAATTATGTACAAAAAAACAAGAAAAAAAAATGATCCAAACATCCAAAATTAAACATAAAATATATATACTGGTTGAATGCTGGGGGGAAAAAAAATTAAAAACCAAAATCCCTGATAAATTCTCTCCCCTCAGGAAATAGTTATCAACTTTCTCTGGGATGGGAAGCGCTTTTTGTTTCAAACGTTTTGTTTTATATTTATTATTAGATTGTAATTATTTGGAGTGGTGCAGTAGCCTAGAGGTGGAGCTCTCGCCTCACAATCAGGAGGTCTGCGAGTTCGATCCTAGGTAGAGGCAGATGTTTTTCTTTCTGGGCACATTGAGAATAGATCTGTTGAATGTAACTCAGCACTGGTGACAGGAAGGGCATCCGGCCAAAAACTCAGCTCCATTCAGTTGCCCCGACTCCACCCAGTAAGGAATTCTGGGGTCATTAAAAGATGATGATTTGATTTTAATTGTTTAATAGTTTACTTAACTGCCCATCTCATAATGGAACAACTTTTCGGAGGCCGTGTTGCTCTGGAGAGAATTTTCCTTTTTTTTTCCCCGCGGAAGGAAGAAACTGGGGAAGAAACGTTTTTTTCTACTTACGAATGTTCATTTAGTGACTGTTCATAGTTACAACGGCACTGAATAAAAGTGACTTACGGCCTTTTTTTTTTTTTTACACTTAACGACCGTCATAGCATCCCTATGATTGGCGCTCGGGCACTCGGCAACCGACTCATATTTATGACGGTTGCAGTATCCCTAAGTTACGCGATTCCCTTTTGCGACCTTCCGAAAAGCCAAGTTAATGGGGAGGGAGCCACTTGGTCGGAAATGGTGTAGGGCAGCGATGGCGAACCTTTTCGGCACAGAGTGCCCAAACCAGAAAGTGTGTGCATGTGCACGCACCAGAGCGCCAGAAAATGGAAGACGAGCTGGCTGGCACGCACATGCCTGTTTTTTGCCCGTTTTGGGGGCCATTTTCAGGCTGTTTTTGGGCCGTTTTCAGGCTATTTTTCGGGCTGTTTTCAGGCCATTTTCAGGCTGTTTTTTGGGCCGTTTTCAGGCCATTTTCACTGTTTTTCGGGCTGTTTTCTGGCCATTTTCACTGTTTTTCGAGCTGTTTTCAGGCCATTTTCAGGCTGTTTTTCGAGCTGTTTTCAGGCCATTTTCAGGCTGTTTTCAAACCATTTTCACTGTTTTTCGGGCTGTTTTCAGGCCATTTTCACTGTTTTTCGGGCTGTTTTCAATCCATTTTCACTGTTTTTCGGGCTGTTTTCAATCCATTTTCACTGTTTTTCAGGCTGTTTTCAGGCCATTTTCACTGTTTTTCGGGCTGTTTTCAATCCATTTTCACTGTTTTTCGGGCTGTTTTCAATCCATTTTCACTGTTTTTCAGGCTGTTTTCAGGCCATTTTCACTGTTTTTCAGGCTGTTTTCAATCCATTTTCACTGTTTTTCGGGCTGTTTTCAGGCCATTTTCACTGTTTTTCGGGCTGTTTTTAGGCCATTTTCACTGTTTTTCGGGCTGTTTTCAGGCCATTTTCACTGTTTTTCGGGCTGTTTTCAATCCATTTTCACTGTTTTTCAGGCTGTTTTCAGGCCATTTTCACTGTTTTTCGGGCTGTTTTCAGGCCATTTTCACTGTTTTTCGGGCTGTTTTCAATCCATTTTCACTGTTTTTCGGGCTGTTTTCAGGCCATTTTCACTGTTTTTCGGGCTGTTTTCAGGGTGTTTTTTGGGCCATTTTCAGGCCATTTTTCGGGCTGTTTTCAGGCCATTTTCAGACTGTTTTTCGGGCTATTTTCAGGCCATTTTCAGGCTGTTTTTTGGGCCGTTTTCAGGCCATTTTCTGGCACCCCAGCTCCTGCAGACCAGCTGGTGACGGCACACGTGCCCACAGAGAGGACTCTATGTGCCCCCTCTGGCACGCGTGCCATAGGTTCGCCCTCGCGGGTGTAAGGTCTCCTGCTTGGGCGGGGGGGCGGACTAGATGACCTACAAGGTCCCGTTCCAACTCTAGTCTAAACCGTGTGACCCGATTTAACAACTCTGATTTGCTTAACGACCGTGGCAAGAGAGGTCGTAAAATGGGGCAAAACTCACTTAGCAGATGTCTTCCTCGGCAGCTTTCGGGCTCAGTTGTGGTTGTTAACTCAAGGACTAACCGGTAACAGTGGCCGATGTTTGTTTCAGGTAACCAGGATAAACCGCCTTCTGCCTTCTTGCAACCAGCCAGGGATCGCAACGCCAAACCCGATTTGTCTGTCGGTTCCCGGAAACACCAGACTCGGGTCCCCCTTAAGCAGCCGAGACTCCCGTACGAGGTCAAGCGGACGGGCCTCCCTCCCTCCCTCCCTCCCCAGGCCGGTTTTATTTCGGGGCCGTGGCAAGATGGCTTGGGAAAGGGGCGTTGTTTTCTTTAAACACAACGAGGAACCTCAAAAAGGAAAATGCATTTTGACGTTCTCGACTCTTTCTGAATAGGAAAAGCAAAGCATAGGAATCTGGGATTCTCCATTGTGCAGCTCAGTATCACATAGGAAAATTTAAAAAAAATAAATAAATCTGTTTACTTGAAGGGTTACATATCAGTTGACCTCAACCCAACACTTCAGACACATGGTTGGGTACACTCCGAAAGTGGGTGTGTGGTGGGGGTGTTGAGTGTTGCATAAGCACTGTGTTAGGCAGGGGTGTCCAATTCCCCAGCCGGTGGACCTCAACTCCCAGAATCCCCCATCCATTGAAGTTCCAATTCCCAGAATCCCCCATCCATTGAACTTCCAACTCCCAGAATCCCCCATCCATTGAACTTCCAACTCCCAGAATCCCCCATCCATTGAAGTTCCAATTCCCAGAATCCCCCATCCATTGAAGTTCCAATTCCCAGAATCCCCCATCCATTGAAGTTCCAATTCCCAGAATCCTCCATCCATTGGACTCCCAGAATCCCCCATCCATTGAACTTCCAACTCCCAGAATTCCCTATCCATTGAAGTTCCAATTCCCAGAATCCTCCATCCATTGAACTTCCAGCTCCCAGAATTCCCCATCCATTGAACTTCCAACTCCCAGAATTCCCCATCCATTGAACTTCCAATTCCCAGAATCCTCCATCCATTGAACTCCCAGAATCCCCCATTCATTGGCCTTCAATGCCCAGAATTTCCCAGCCAGTGGACTTCAACTCCCAGAATTCTGGGCATTGAAAAAAATCCACCGGCTGGGGAACTCTGGGAGTTGAAGTCCACCTCTCTTAAAGGTTGCCAAGGCTGGACACCCCTAGTGCGCAGGCTTTTAACACAACTCCTCCATGATTGTGCTCAAGGGTGCATGACAAGTGTGCTACATGCGTCTCGTGGGCTTTTAGGATCCGGGATTGTTTTGCACACCCAACAAGCATCAGACAGAACCGCACAACAAGTCATTAGCAAGGGGTGTTTTATGGGGTGGGGTGGGGCGGGGGGGTGGGCGGAAGGAACTGGGGTGACGAGAGTATAGGTAATCCGAGTTTAGTAGCACTTATTTCCTCTTGTAGATAGCATGGTCTGTTTGGATTCTGGAGTTAGGTCTTTCTCGAGAGCTCTGTTCATGGTATTGCAATAAAGGGTATTTTTTTGTCGTTCACTCAGTTGGAGCACTAATAAAAATTGGGCCTTGTAAAATATCTTCGCCCGTCTTCGGGGGGGAGAAAAAATGAATTCTTTTGTAACTAATCTTTATAAATAAACTTGACTTGAAAAGGCATAGTGGAATTATTTGGGGGGAGCACAATTAAAAAATAAAAATTAAAACCAACTAGAAGATAACCACACCAAGGGTGTTACAATGGACAATGGAAGGAAGGAGGGAGGGAGGGAGGGGGGAAATCTAAATTTTATATATTAATTGCATGAGTTTGGCAGTTCAGGGACTGCCTGTATTTCTTTTGATAAGGCAGTGAATATAAATCATATTCTTTCCTCCTCCTGTTTTCCTCATAACAATCCTGTGAGGTGGGTTGGATTGAGAGGGACTGGCCCAAAATCACCCAACCCCCCTTCATGCCTAAGGAGGAACTAGAACTCACTGTCTCCTGGTGATTGGCCCAAAGTCACCCAACCGCCTTTCTTACCTAAGGAGGAACTAGAACTCACTGTCTCCTGGTGTTTGGCCCAAAATCACCCAACCGCCTTTCTTACCTAAGGAGGAACTAGAACTCCCTGTCTCCTGGTGATTGGCCCAAGATCACCCAACCGCCTTTCATGCCTAAGGAGGAACTAGAACTCACTTGTCTCCTAGTGATTAGCCCAAAATCACCCAACTGCCTTTCTTACCTAAGGAGGAACTAGAACTCCCTGTCTCCTGGTGATTAGCCCAAAATCACCCAACCGCCTTTCTTACCTAAGGAGGAAACTAGAACTCCCTGTCTCCTGGTGATTGGCCCAAGTCACCCAACCGCCTTTCTTACCTAAGGAGGAACTAGAACTCCGTCTCCTGGTGATTGGCCCAAGATCACCCAACCGCCTTTCATGCCTAAGGAGGAACTAGAACTCACTTGTCTCCTAGTGATTAGCCCAAAATCACCCAACCGCCTTTCTTACCTAAGGAGGAACTAGAACTCCCTGTCTCCTAGTGATTGGTCCAAAGTCACCCAACCGCCTTTCTTACCTAAGGAGGAACTAGAACTCCCTGTCTCCTGGTGATTGGCCCAAGATCACCCAACCACCTTTCATGCCTAAGGAGGAACTAGAACTCCTGTCTCCTGGTGATTGGCCCAAGATCACCCAACCGCCTTTCATGCCTAAGGAGGAACTAGAACTCCCTGTCTCCTGGTGATTGGCCCAAAATCACCCAACCGCCTTTCTTACCTAAGGAGGAACTAGAACTCCCTGTCTCCTGGTGATTGGCCCAAAGTCACCCAACCGCCTTTCTTACCTAAGGAGGAACTAGAACTCCGTCTCCTGGTGATTGGCCCAAGATCACCCAACCGCCTTTCATGCCTAAGGAGGAACTAGAACTCACTTGTCTCCTAGTGATTAGCCCAAAATCACCCAACCGCCTTTCTTACCTAAGGAGGAACTAGAACTCCCTGTCTCCTGGTGATTGGCAAAGTCACCCAGCTGGCTTTCATGCCTAAGGCGGGACTAGGACAGAAACTCTTGATTGTAAGAGCATCTTTCTAGGAATGGAGGAGACACGACTGGACCTCATGTTGTTCTCCTTGGCTTGTATGAGAGGACAGGAGCTTTTCGCTGAGTTTGTAGTACAGGAGGAGGAGGAGGAGGAGGAGGAGGACTGGGGGGTCCTTGGGGCTCTCTGAGCTCGGCTGCTTTCTTGCAGGCATTTCATGACCCAACAAGGTAACGTCATCACTGCTAGAAGGGAGGGGGGTTTGCAGAGAGAACAGGGAGGAGCAGGAGGAGGATGGTGGGGTCTTCGGTGTTCTCTGAGCTGGAAGGGAGTGAGGTTGGAGGAGGAAGAAGAAGTGGAGGAGGAAGAGAAGGACAACAACAAGTTGTTGTTGTGGAGTCCTTGGTTGTGTTCTTGCAGACATTTCATGACCCAACTAGGTAGCATCATCAGTGGTAGAAGGGAGTGGTGTTTGTGGAGAGGGAGGAAGACGAGGAAGAGGTGGAGGGAAAGAGGAACACGATGGGCTCATTGAAGCCCTCTGAACTTGCTTGTTTTCTCGCAGACGTTGCATCACCAAACTAGACAACGTCATCAGTGAACTGGTTTTTACTTGACAGCACTGAAATAACGCAACATTCTTTTCCCTCCTCTCGACCGAACCTCAGCCCTGCCCCTCCACAGCAAAAAAGGAGAGAGATGCGGTCCAGCCGACCTGAAGCCAGATCTAGTCCCGCAGTAGGGAAAAAGACCGAGGTGGCATTCAGCCGGTTTGCACGAAACTGTAGCGGAAATCACAGGTGGGCCGTGAGCCCTCCCTGGCTCTATGCCATCCTATTTAGGAATGTTTTTGAGGCCCGGGCGCATGCACGGAAGACGCACGGGCGAGTAAACCGTATGCACGGAAGGGCCGGGCGTGGCGAACCAGTAGTATAAATACTGGAAACCCACCGCTGGAAAAAAGGCACACACGCACACACACACACAGATGTTACTCACTCCGGCATTTTTGTGCTTGCACCGTTTTTTTTCTTTCTTTCCTTTTTTTTTTTTATTAGTAGCACTTTTAAAACACAAACGGAAGCCTGGTGGCAAAGTTGTGTCCCAACAGATGTAAACAAAGTTTTGAGAAGCTAGGAGATTTAAGGAGGGGGGGGGATCATAAACCAGAAAAAAAAAACCCCAACCCAAAAAAAAACAAAAAAAACCACCCCACCCCCAAAATTATTGGGGACTTAAAAAGAGATGCCGCTTAAAGCACGGGCAACCGGAGGCGGCTTTGCCAGGATTTGGGCTGGCGTGAAATGGGGAGGGGGAGAGAGGGGCGGCCTACGAGAACCTCTAGGCTGGTGGGCTTTTGGGTCCCTCCCGTCCCCGCTGGGACCGGCCAACTTTTATTTCTTTTTTTTTTTTAACGGGCTGAGAATGGAGTTAGCGAGAGTTAAAGAGTGACGGGTGTCGGCACCTGCCAATCAAACCCCCCCCCAAAGCTGAAATTGACACATGATTCTAGCCGAAAAGAGAGAAGGGAGGTTGGATCAGTGCAATCTCAGAGATATGATTAAGGAAGGGGAGGAGAGAGAGAGAAAGAGAGAGGGAGAGAAAGTAACAGGCCTTACAATATTGAGCTGGGGAAGGCGCTCAGCTTAAAGGTCCCGAGTGCGGGCGTCGCCCCCCCTTCTGTGGTTGAGAGCCTGGGGTGGGGGGGGGGGGGGAAAGGGGGGGGGGGAAGAAGAGACGTTCGGCCCTGCTCACTGCTGCTCGTCCTCTCCGTAGATGTCGTTCTTCTTCCGCTTCATCTCTTCAAAGTCGAACTCCGAGCCCATCATCCTCTTGTAAATGTCTTTGATGTCGTCGCAGGTGGTCTCAAAGTGAGTGGTGGCGTCGTAAGTGCGGGAAATAAAGATCTGGGCGAAAGAGGCAAAAAAGGCACAGAGGGTTGGGCTGTCACCATCATGGTCTGGTCTGGTCTTGTCTGTCTTTCCTTCTATTTTCCTTTTTCTTTCTTTCCTCTTTCCTTTCTTCCTTTTTTTTTTTCTTTTTTCTCTTTGCTAGATCTTCCTTCATTTCCCTCTTCCCAAATCCCTTTCATCTTCACTTCTCTCATCTTCCTCCCTCCCTCCACTCTTTCCTCCCTTCCTCCCTTCCTTTTTTCTCTCTTCCTTCCTAGATTTTCTTTCCTTCTATTTTCCTTTCTTTTCCTTTCTTTCCTCTTTCTTTTCTTCCTTTTTTTCTCTTTGCTAGATCTTCATTTCCCTCTTCCCAAATCCTTTTCATCTTCCCTTCTCTCATCTTTTTTTTCCTCCTCCCTCATCTTCCTCCCTCTCTCTCCACTCTTTCCTCCCTCCCTCCCTTCCTTTTTTCTCTCTTCCTTCCTAGATTTTCTTTCCTTCTTTCATTTTCCTTTCCAAATCCTTTCTTCCATCTTTTCGTCGCACATCTTCTTCCCTCCCTCTTCCCTTCCTTTTTTCTTGTTTTCCTTCCTAGTTCTTCCTTCCTTCTTTCATTTCCCTCTTCCCAAATATTTCCTTCTCTCATCTTCTTCCCTCCCTCCCTTTTCTTTCATCCCTTTCCTTCCTTTTTTCTTTTCTCCTTCCTTCCTTCCTTCATTACCTTTCATTACCCTCTTCCCAAATCCTTCCTTCCATCTTTCTTTCTCTCATCTCCCTCCCCCATTTCCTTCCCTTACACCCATCTCATTATTGAGGGATTCTGGGCAGCATATAGTATCATCAAAACAATTTAGGCAATTGAAAGTTAAATATACGAAAACAGGAAGCAATTAAAATATTAAACAACAAATTGAATAGAAAGATCAGTGCATAAAATGGGGTGGAGCCTCCCCTCCCAGGAAGGGGCCTGCCCCCCCACCCCTTCATACCAACCTGGCTCTCTCTGCCCAAGTCAGTTGGGGAAAACAAGTCGCTGACGCTAACAAACCTACAAGGAAGGAAAAATAAAAAATCAATTTAGGAAGATTTCAGGCAACAACAACAACAAAAAATCTGCTTTTATTTCCAGGCCCAAAGGCACTAA